ATGTTTTTTTTATCAGGGAATCAGGCCCAGTGTTTTGTTTTATGCAGTGCTCTGCGGGGGATGTAGCATCACTGTCGATGATAAAAATAGGATTAATAAATTGATTAGAAAGCCTGGATCGGTTATTGGCCTCAATCTTGATTCACTTGAGGTAATTGTGGAAAAGAGAACAAGGACAAAATTAAAAATGATTTTGTCTTACAAAGGTCATCCACTACTACACTGTATTTTTAGTGGAGTTAAAAGTTCATTTAGTGGAAGATTAGTGATGCCTCAGTGCTCTACTTGTATGTTTCTATTTGTGTTGTTTGTATTGTGTATTGGTGACAAATGAGTTTCCCCTTACAGGGATTAATAAAATTTTCTAATCTAATCTAATCCTCGCTCATAGCTCCTCAGGAAGCCTCCTCAATCCTCGATCCTCGCCTCCTTGTGGTGCAATTAGGAAATTGAGATGTCCTACAAGATGGCTGAGCTCGACCGGTTTCCGGGTCATAGGATGGCGGACGGAGGAATGAGGAAACGAGGAGGGATATTGAGAAGCACCCCATGTATTTCCAAGTGGAGGCTGGCCTGACCGTGGACATCCGAGTCCACGAGATGCTAGCTAGGAAGGAAGTTAGAAAAGGAAAGACATTTTTTTATTGCAATTGAAAGAATAACAACAGTTATGAAGTAACGGGGCAAACGGACATCAGAAAATGAAAGACATGCCTTGTCCAAATACCCACACTTGCGGTCTTTGCACTTGACAACTTATATGATGTATTTCCTGTATTTGTCCCAAGTATTCAAGTGAGTATGAAGACCACAAGTGTGTGTGTCGAACTTTTCATTAACTGATGGGACTCACTTATAAGTTATAGTGAGGTAAAAATGCAAGTGTTTATATAGCTTTATTTAAATGTTAAATACTTTGCATTTTAAAATCAACTTCTAAATGTCTGTTCAGTAGTCCCTATAACATGACATAATTTCAATTTGTGGTGCTTCTAATTAAATGATAAAAAGCAGTTGCAAATGTTGTACAAATTAAATATCACCACTACTCATCTTTGCACCAATAAAACGTAAAAACAC